AAATATATGGTTAAAATTACACCACATTAGCCAATTTAATAAGATTTAAAATACTATGTCGTTTTAGGGCTACAAGCAGAAACACCGCTATTAAAAAGTTTTTAATTCATCGAACCTTCAAAAGAAAATGCAGATCTTCGTGAAAATCATAACAGAAAAAACCATAATACTCAGGGTTAAATCGAAGGACAATATCAACTCATGAGATTTGATTTTTAATTTTCATTATCATCAGCTGTAATACTTCAAATATTTTCTTCCTTTATATTTTGTAATCTGATCCATTAGATTTAATGTTTTTAATTATTTTGATATTCTTAGTTGTTATAATCTTTCGATTTTCCATGATTTTTTTTATTTATTTTAGAATTATTTTTCTTCATCAAAACCAGTAAAGTACATAAAATGTAATTACATGAACATGTTATATGATTCAACAGATAATTTAATAGGAAGTTTTCACTAACAACGTTTCTTCCTTATAGTCCTAAAACGACATAGTATTTGAAATTTTATTAAATGAGTTGATGTGGTGTAATACTAGCCAAAAATTTACTTAAAATGTCATGTGGTCAGTGCGCAAGTGATTCAACTTCTAACAATGTAGAGGACTTTTAATTTACAAAATCCTTGTCCTATAGTAGTGGTGTACAGGAGTTACTTCAAAATGGACACACGATCAAACTCCGCAAAATTCGCCAAACTTTAATAGATATATATATATATATATAATTAAATATGTGTGTACGCGTGCAATGAGTTCATTCTCGATGGGTTTTTTTAATTATTAAAGTGCGATTCCATTAGTGCTCTAATAGTTTACCAATGTTCATTTATATTGCTTTTGTCTACATTGTTAAATGCCACCCCACATACATCCAAACTTGTGGTTGCACAATATTTTTTTACCCATAAATAGTTGCACAATATTTATCAAAGTAATTAAACAATGACCATAATTATCAAATGCCTTCTTACTTTTTATTTTTTATTTTATTTTTATTTTTTAAAATTAAAAACAGCATCTCCATATGAATGTAAAATTGCATATATTTTGACTTTTCTGCAATTGTGAGAGATTTTTTTTTTGAAAGGTTGAGCAAACACACACACTCATGTCTCCATTGAGACTCGAACACCCGACTTTTCCTTTGGGGAAGAGGGCTTATAGCCCATTTGATCAATTGTGGGAGTTTACTGCACTAGTGTAACCCTTATATCGAAGTACAAATTGGTTCGCCGTACCGGCTGATACGCGACTCGTTCAGTTTACACTGACTTTGTCTGAATCCGTTACACCACGATCGTGACCATCTCTGATACTGCGAGCCATACTACAAAATGATAAAAAGTGTGGAGTCATAGTTTTTGTTATGTGACTCTAATTCTATGGGTGTTTGACAATCATTTTCGTTTTTCTTTTTTATTTTCATCTGAAACATTTTTACACTAGAGTGCATTCAATAGCGAGTGGAAACATATTTGGTAATGTAAAATTTGTTGTAAGATTTTTTAAAACAAAAATACGATATTATGTTTTATAAAAAAAAATGTTCCAAGATTGAAAAACAAAAATTACAAGATAAAAAAGGGATTTTTATTTTTTTATTTTTCCAGCAACAAACATGGTACTATTCAAATTGCAACAAAAGTTGCCAAACGCGTTTTAGTGTTTTGCTTTACTACAGTTCACTACTCACAACAGAAAGCACGAAACAAAAGCGATTGTCAAACGTGCCCTTATTTTTGTTGTTGTGTTCTTATTATTTATTTTTTTGTTACCCTGAAACTCGATTAATTTTTACTCAAAAGCCTCATTTTAATTCAAAGATTTAATCTTTATACATTAAAACATTTTAGTAACCTTAAAATGTACCTTGATTAAGGTTTTTTCATTAAAAAAAAACTCCTACGACCTCAAAGAGAACTCGATTAAATTTAGCTCAAAACTCTTTTTTTTTTTTTCACAACACAGAATAATTGAAGTACAAATATTGCAAAGTAATTGAATCCAATTTTTACACATTAAATAACTCTTGTAACTTCAAAGAGAACTCAATTAAATTTTGCTTGAAACTCTCATTTTCATTTAAAATTTTCATTTGTTTTTTCATAACACTATATAATTGAAGTACAAATATTGCAAAGTAATTGAATCCAATTATGTTATTTTATTTTTTTCGGGTTGACATCACAAACACTCTATGTCAATTCTAACACGTCAACAACCGTGTTGTTCTTTACACTACTTAAGTACTCCACCATTGTGGGAAGAAATAGATGTGAAGTTACACTTAAGTTACCATGATGATAAAGTTTTTATATTTTCTTGCCATCAAAGGAACATATATATATATATATATAACAACTAATTCTAACAATATTATGATGCTGATAAATCACTACTAATTAATAAGGTGTCTCGTTATATATAATTAAATTAATCTGCAACAAAACCCTATAAAAATTAAATTAAGACCTATATATAATCTACATCCACATCCTTTTGTCTCTAGGGTTAAAAACGAATCGAATTGTTAAACTATAATTTAGATTTGACTGGATCAAATATTAATTTGAGCTTGATGCTTAATAATTAAGCTAATTAAAATTGAAAAATTCATAATTTGGATTTGTTAGACTTGTGAACGTATTCATAAACGCGTATTAGTAAACAAGTTGATTAGAAAATCGTGACTGATTTGTTTTCTCAATAATGTAAACGACTTTTCCTATTATTTTCCTCCTCTCTAAATGTGTAACATGAAAAGCTCAATATGTAATCTTTTTAGTGCGGGCGGGCAGGTGAGAGAGAGATCGTTTTGCTTTCTAAGCGTGGATGTTTTTGTTAGAGAATCATGAACCCCTTCCCCACCAAATTCAACTACAAATCTTAATGCCATCTCTAAAGAAATATATATATATATATATATCATGATTGGTTGTATCAGTAGATACGTGTTGTATTAGCTAGTTCGTAACCTTTTTTTAAGGATCCAATATTATGAGATACATCAATGAATTGATCAGTTTGACTAGTTTACACTGATATTCACTTGAATCTGTTACACCGCGACTATGAGTAATGATATATATATTGATGTTAATGTACCTGTCATATCTTCGTGCACCAAGGACCTTGTAAGTATTTTCTCATTTTCTAAAGTAAAAAGTTAATTAAGAATTTAAGTTCTGGGTGCGTGCTTTAAGTCTCCACTCAATTTGTATTTTTCGAACATTATAGCATCCTTCTTTACACAATAATTTTTAGGTGTTTAAAAAAATAAATTAGTAGTAAAAATAAATAAATTAATGACAAAACAAATTCATTGTCTATTCAATCTTAAGTAGGTTTTTACTTATTTTATTTTGAGTAATAATTTAAGGACCGAATTTTGTAATTATCGAATTTAATTTATGTGAGTGTAATGATGAGTTCCACCATATGATGTCACATGACGTCATGCGGTGAGACCCACAGTCCTTCTCATATAAATTAAATTCAATAACTATCAAATTCGTTTTCTAAATCTCTACCCTTTTAATTTTTTTTTTTTCACCATTTTCATTAATTTGATATATATATAACATCTAGATATCAACCAAATTAATTAAAACCTTTTAGCAAAAACATTATACTCTCCTTAGTTAAAGGAATCCTAAATATAATTCCACCACAACATTAGCATTGAATCCTAATCCCCCACACGTGTGTCATTTGTTTGTATTGAATTTTAACATAATTATATCTTATTTAATAGTTTTATGAAGAGATGGTAATTTTTCTGTCCTAATAATTCAATATATATACTTACAAAAAAATAAAAAAATATATTGCAATATGTTAGATATACAACTATACAAGTCTCTAACAACTTCCATCATGTATGAGTGGTTAGTTGAATGGAATCATATATCCATAAATATTTCAAGTTTGGTAAACTACTAAACATCATCTAAATCATGTGACTTCGCTAAGTGGTCAATCCACAACCACCAATACGTGTCCAATCATATTTAAAATGCCTAAATTAAAAAAAGAAAAGAAAAGAAGCTTAAACAAACAATGTGACAGTTAAAGTAAGCATGATGATTCAATGAGGCACAAGCAGTGGGGAAATACTTTGCTTTACATCTCATATATATATATATATATATAAATAATACATACACATACATGTATGCATATATGCTAGTGTGTGTGTGTGTGTTTTGGTGGTACAAAAGGGGATGGAACTCGAGTGGGTGTGTTTGTTGTTCCCTTTAGTCCAAACAAGAGAGCATGAAACTGTGCATATTATTAACCATATTTATGTCAGAGTTCATAAATAATTGGGTGTCATTGATTTTCTTGCCTCTGTATAAGATCTCCTTCAGGTGATTACATTATGGTCATCTTAATTTTTTATTAGCCAAACAGTGGCTTCATTAGGAATAACACCTTTCTTTTTCCGGTAACTGTGTGACTCTTATTTCTCATATTAAGGAAAAGAATAGTGATATTTGGGTCGAATTTTTAAAGTGAATTGCATGATCTCTAATTTTCGATTGATTAGAAAATGAATAAGCGAGACAAGTTAAGCTGAATTTTTTCTGATTATAAAATTAAATATAGTCAGAGTGCAGGTGTTCCTCGCAGAGGAGAGTAGGGCAAAAATAGTTGATGGGGTCAACTCAAAATCTTTACATATTTGCCACATCATCCTCCAAATTTAACGGTCATCTACTAACTTCCCTGAACTTTTTTCTAATTTGTTTCCTCACCACATGTGCACATGCAGAGTGCCCCTCCAGTCCTATATATATACAATGATTATACATATATATATATATATAATAATTAATAATTATTATATACATGCGTTACATAATTGTACACTAATATACAAGCGTGCGCTACGTATGAAATAATAAACCCCACCATCGCACGAACCAAAAGGACATTCATGTCAATTCATCCGTCTATATAGTCTCTCCAGTCGTGCACTCTTCCGTGTTTCCTTCCTTCTGCTTTGACTCTCTCTCTCTCTCTCTCTCGTTTATCCGCAACGACTTTTGGGTTTTCCTCTGCTTTCGATCTGAGTCTCTGGTTTTTGGGTTTTCGAGTATAAACGATTTAGGGTTTGCTTTTCTTCTTCCTCAGGAATTGCATTCACTGTAAGTTGCTTGTTCACTGATGGTTTCTTTCTAGCTTCAATGTTTGGTTGATTTGTTTCTTTTTAGCCCATATGCCTAGAATGAGCTTTGGCTTGTTTATGTCTATAGGTGTGATTTGTTGTTAATTTTTCGATCTCTCTCTTCATCACTTCTGGCTTCATTTTGTTTATGTTTTTCTTTCATTCTTCCCTGAATTTGTCTCTCTAAAATGAGGGTTTTGTTATGCATAGTTGATAAACTATGCATTTTTGGATCCTTTTTAGCTGGCAAAGTTTCAAATTATTTGTAATGTTCCTTTTGATTGATGAGGAAAATGTAGGAAAAGAAATGAATTAAATAGTAAATGCTACTTTTTACATAATTTGGGACACTAAAATTACACAAACAAGCACTGATTTAGCTAATCCTGATACTACTCCTTCCCTTGTTGAGCTGATCTTGTAAACTGTAACTTGAACTTTTGGAGAGAGAGAAAAAAAAAACCCATAAATCATTGTATTCCAAAAATGTGTTTCCTATTCTTCATTTTGTCAGCAACCAACCAGAGGGTTAGTTTTTTCCCTTTAGGTTTATTTCATTTTCTCATCAACCATATCTGATATATGTGCGTGATACCATTGCAGTGACTTGATATAGAGTTGTGGGCAAAACTAGCCGTGGCAATCTTATTACATAGAGGAACAACATGCTTTGGTACAGCCTCTCCGTCGACGTGTACCGGAAAGCCCTCTCTCTGAACTTGTACTGTCGTGTGATTCTGTAATTCCATTTGATCACCACAATCCTTCACATTCTTAGCCTTGTATAATTACCTTTGTTTTCCATGGGATCTAATCTGTTTGTAGTCCTTCCCTGTTACGTCCTCAGCATTAGCTGAAGTCTGGGTTCTTTTTTGTTAATTCTCGACATCAAATCCGATCGGTTACTAATCTTTTTGCTCTAATCCGGTCCGTACGTTCTTGAATTGACATCGAGGGGTGTCTGATTGCTTGCCTGAAGATTGCAGTGTTGCTTTGATTAAAAGGGTTGGGGAAATAGTAGTTATGGTAAGCCAAGCAGCCAGTCAAACGACATTTCGGGCATTAAAACACATGAATGGGATTGCTGGGGGTGCCACCATAATTGTCAGAGTCATAGCATGCTTTCAACCACTTCAGGATTGTCAGGTCAGTAAACAATACTCCAAAGCATTATGTGCTCTCTTTTTTTGCAGAATTAGATTCTTTCATCAACTTTGTGGTGCATATGTCCTTCAAAAGATGCCTTATTATTCGTACTTTAGTTGATGATGATGGTTTGGAAATCTTATATGAATTTATCTTTTTTGTGTTTGTCAGGCTGAATATTTCCGTCATTTGCTTAAACCCGTTACGTAGATTGATTTTCCTTCCTTTGTGTACAAGTTAAGCTGGAGTTTTTAGTTTTTCCCATTTTTTCTGTAAGAAAAGACAAGTAATCAGCCATCTGTCATACTGCAAACATCGTTTTTCTGGTATGTTTCACCATGTCCATCTTATTATTATTATTATTATTATATATTGAGTTTTTCTTGCATATGATGGATCTTATAGGTTGTAGTTTTTCTTTTGTGTGTTCTTTATGTTGATTCTTAGGTGATTGTTTTGGTTATGGAAAAGGACTTCGGATCCTGTACTCATCACCAGCATTCTTTTTGGCAATTGCCCAGTTTGAATTCCTCAAGTTTTCCATTGGACTTGAGGCAGCAAAACGCTGTCCCAGCTTTCATGAGTCCTTACACTAATACGGTTTCTACAAATGAGACTTTGCCAGTGTTTCCATTTCCTGGACTCCCGCATTCTACGGTAAGCCAACCGAAGGAACCTCTTGGTTGGTTTTATTGCTATTCTGGTTTCCATCAGGCATTCAAAGAGAGAAACTCTGCTGGTCCTTATAAGAATTGTGGGGATGCCATCACACCCAATCCGGGGTCTGGATGTGCACAGAGGAAATTCCTTGTTTTTGATCACTCTGGTGATCAAACAACTTTGATTTTTAGTTCTGCCCCTTCTGGGATTGGAACTCCTGTTCAGTGCCCAACTTCTTGGATGCCCAAAGCTCCTGGTGCAAATGTTTTGAATAGGGAAGAACCAGGAACTAAAATTGATACAGTTCATCACTTTGGGCCAAATTTGACTGATGTATATACTGAAAATCATGGAGATAATGGGGAAAGTGAGATGCGTGAAGACACAGAGGAACTCGATGCCTTGCTTTACTCTGATGATGATGACAATTATTCTGAGAATGATGATGAAACAAGCACAGGTCATTCTCCCAGTACAATGACGGCTTATGATAAACAAAAATGGTTTGAGGAAAGTGTAGAAGAAGTTGCTAGCTCTGCTGAGCAAACCAAAAGAAGGAAACTCTTTGATGGAGGTTATGATGTGCCATCACTCATGGACACTGCAAGCTCTGTGAAAACCCATAGATGCTATGAGCATGAGGATGATGCGGAATCTAGTTGTGGCAATGAAGAAAATCAAGGTTTGGAAGAGCTTGGTTTCTCACCAGGAAACAAAGGGTTGAGGAAGGAGAGCATTCGCGAGACGGTGAGCATTCTGCAGAGTATAATTCCTGGTGGGAAGGGCAAAGATGCAATTGTGGTTCTCAATGAAGCTATCCACTATTTGAAATCTTTGAAGCGCAAAGCGATGGCTTTAGGACTTGATACTCTTTGAGATGGCATCTGTCTTTAACGACTGGTAATAGTAATATTTTGTGATAGCAATAGTGATGTTACATGATTTAAATTGTTAATGTGGTATCCAGAATAAGTTGGGTAGAGAGGGGCCGTTGGACAAGATTTTACCAACATAAGAAGTGAAAACTATAAGTTGTGGATAGAAAGCTTCAAACATTGTTGTGTCTTCAATCAATGATCTAGTTGGTACCAGTAGCTTTGGTTCGTGAAAATCTCTCTAGAGAAGAGGAGAGTGCAGAACATTATGCCCCAGTAGAATGTTGGTGAATTATTACTTCCATGTCTTGAGATGTAGTCTCAAGTTCACTATTTGGCATATGAGTTTGGCCGCGTGGCTGCGTGGATGATGGCTGGCTTAGGGCCCAGCTTTCACACTCACCCTTTTCACAATCTTGTCATATAAAGTATCCTTCGTAGGTCCTTTTTCTTGCTGATCTATTGCAAAAACGAACGGTTGAGTTGCTTGTATTTCATCTCATCATGTATTTGGTATGGGACCTCAATTGCAGAACCACCACATACTTCCATCGATTGATCGAAGTTCCACATGTGAGCTAGAAGCATCTACTCATCTGCAACTCATTGCATCAGGTGTGGTGGGGTTCCCCTTTGATGATGTTTGTAATTTGACCCTGAAATGCATCTCTCTGTGTAGCTGTGTTGTTTCTAATAATAATAATATTACGTGATAGACATTTTAGTGGGTGGTCTTGGTGGTTAATGATGATGATATGTTAGTTTGATATAATCTCACCGTGTCTGGTGTGGTGTTGTCTTTATTCCCCTGTATATTTATACGTCGAATGCAAGCATTTATAATAGAAATTCAACACCAATGCATGCTCGTGATTCCATTGCTCCGGAAATTGTGCAAAGTTGATGGCATGGTTACTGGGACCACCACCACCATGTTTGAATTATTTGAGAAGGAACTTCATTTCTTGCTTCGGATGTCACAGCCCATTCTGAAAAAGAAACGATAACTAGGGTTCGTCTTAGCCCTAGTTCTAGGTTTTATGGCTTCTTAATTGTATCATTTATGCTCAATATATATGTTTTCTGCTAGTATCTTTCATCTGAGTAGTGTCTTCAAACTTGGATACATTAGAATGGTTGAACTACAAAAACCAGCTTTATGCATGTCACCCAGATAAGAGGCCTACGATAAACAAGATATGCGTTGGGTTGGGCGATGGTCCAAACAATATGATCTCTCCTCTTCAAATGGAGCTAGTGTTCGAGTTCCACAAGGAGCAGGGCGTGTTTGCATTCTTACATATATATATATATATTTTTTTTCCTCTTTGGTTGAAAAAAGTTTACGAGTCCTGAAAATTGATCTATTAAGATAGATTGCTCACCCTCCTTGAGGATTCTGATAAATAAAAGGTATGGCAAGAATCAAATCAATGGAATGAAAATGGTATGGGAATTTACAATCTTCCCAAATAATGAGCAAAGTCCTATTATATTTTATAAATAAAAGGTATTGACAATAATAAGATTGAAAATTAAGTAGAGAAAATTTTAAGAGCTAAATTTTAAGTAGTTTTTAAGTGATAATTAAAAAGTAAATATTTTTTGATGCATTCAAAATTAAGCATTGAATTGAATATTACTCTCAAATATCTCTATCACTAATTTTTTTTTGATACATTTAGAATTAAGCGCTAAATTGAGTATTAAAATTTTAAGTAGTTTTTAAGTGATAATTAAAAAAATTTGATGTCTCTATCACTTAATATTTTATCCCATTTTAAGTGGCACTTACCGTTTACCGTTTTCAGATGTATTCAAATTGCTTTATCAAACGTATTTAATTAAATGAATGCATTTAGCATTCAGAATTAAGTGTTGAATTGAGTATTACTCTCAAATGTGAAGGGCAAAGAAATGAATGGTGAAATATCAAAATCATTTTTCTTTTTATGATAGTATGCTAAGTCACATAAAGCGGAAGCGGGAGCGAGAGCGAATTCGAGAGCGGGAGCGTGAAAGCGGTATAATTAAGTTATAAACCGTGAGAATTTGAGCAAGAGCGCGCGCGGAGCGTGAAAACGTGAGCGCGTTCGGAACGTGAAAGCGACACCTATTAATAAAAATTGTGTGACTTGGATTGTATGTGCATTCAGTGGTAAATTATATAGTACTTTAAGAGAATGGATCGCAGAGAGTGCTTTAGAAGTCGATAACACCATTAATGGTGTCACAAAAAAAAAAAAAAATAATAATACCAAGTTCTTGGGTTGGCAGTTCTTTCCATTTGCATTACTTATGGTCCAAATTAGCTGGCTCGTGCCCATACAAAGATGCTGTAATTAATCTACCAAAAAATTATTATTCAACCTCTTTCCATAAAAAAAGTCGAAATCCAATTTTTTTTTTTTTTTTTTCCTTCAAAAAATTATTATTCAACCTCTTTCCACAAGGGCAGGAATCATCTCCTATTTATGTTCCTGCCGGTACCGATCTGTGGCCCAAATAGAGCTACGTCACTTAAAAAAATTTGGTGCCGAAAAAGTTACTCTCAGTGATTACTTTCTGTATTTGTAGTGTATATGTTAGCGTATGTATATATTATATTGTGTATATATACTTGTATATATTAAATATTTGGGGGAATTTACTGAAATATCATTCACATTCAAAAATCCCCTAAAATATCCTTCATTTTCTAGGTCGTCGAATAGGTCGGAAGGAGAAGGAATTGGAAAAGATCGCGAGAAGGGAAGGAAGAGGACTTGGAAGAAGATCGCGAGAAGAGGTTCTCAGACTTAGGTTTTCGAAAGTGGAGAGGACTTGGAAAAGATTGCGAGAAGGGAAGGAGGACGACTTGGAAGAAGACGTGGAGTTGGAAGAAGGTTGTCGCGAGAAGAGGTTGTTATTGTTACAGTTGTCGGACGGTTGTTACAGTGGTCGGAGTTAGTTTGCGGAAGGCTTTTGGAAACGCAGAGGTTTTAATTTCTTTGAATACACTATATTAAATTATGTTCGGAAACGCAGAGGTTTTAATATCTTTGAATACACTATATTAAATTATGTTATTAGTTTTGTTTGATTATTTGTGAAATCCTGAAAAAGTTATTGTTACAGTTGTTGGACGGTTGTTACAGTGGTCAGAGTTAGGTTTGCAGAAGGTTTTCGGAAACACAGGTTTTAATTTCTTTGAATACATTATATTAAATTATGTGTTATTAGTTTTGTTTGATTATTTGTGAAATCCTGAAAAAGTTATTCGTGATAAATAATACAGTATAAATTGATTGAATCCTATTAAATTCTGTCCATCATTTTCCAAACTCAGAGGTTTAATTTGATTGAATATAGTATATAAAATTCTGTTTTATTAGGTTTGTTAGATTATTTTTAAATGTAAAAGATCATCATCTAAATTCTGCACATCTCAATAGTCAAAGGGTAGATAGATAGTGGTTTGTGGGAACTTTGCAGTGGAAGCTCTTCCAGTCATGTAATTTAGATTAAATTTGAAAAAGATGATACTAGATTTATTAAATTCATTAGATCATCAAAATGAGATACATTGCAAAATTTTCGAACTCTAATTTATAATTGTGCTATAGCACAACTAAAATAAGTTTATACCATACAACACACTGGCCAAGAAAATTGTAGCTACAAACTCTTTTTTCTACTTAATAATCATAATTCATAAAACATTTAACTAATCAAATGATTGAGAAGATGTATTTACATGTTATGCACTTTATACCTTACAAAATAGTATGCAATGGAGTGGTTCCAAGTTTTTTAAAGGTCTATTCAATTATTTAATTCTGCAGTCTACTCTAGTCATACACACGGGTAGGAATCCTCTCCTGTGCTTGTTCCCGCCGGTTCCGATCTGTGGCCCAGATAGTCTAGTATAATTCGTGATAAAAGTTATTTGTTATTATTAAATTGTGGAAAAATGAATTGAAAATTATGAAAATTTTATTCGTGTAAGGGAATGCAATGTTTTATACAATTTGTAATGGTAATTGGTGTGTTGTATCTGTTATTAAGTGGTATGATTTTTCCGTTGCACTATTTTGGCAGTTAATTATGTGTGTGTTTGTTTTATCTGTTTGTGGTTAAAATTTTATTGACTGACAATTGGTGGAAAAGTTGTTTGTGCATAATAGAGTGTGCTTTGCTGCGCTGTAAAGACTGTTTTAGAAATGGGTTGGAAGAAGTCGATAGCTCGAAAGAAAGATCCTGTACGAAAAAAATTACCTATATGGAAAAAAAAACGCGGACAATATCGTTGATCTGTCTCCTTCTCATTCTCTCCAATGTATGATGTAAAACATGCGTAATTAATCTTCTTCTGTGGTTCGTACACCTCCCCCGCCTAAATCATCTACTCCTAGTCGTAGTCGTACCCGTAAATCATCTGACCTTGGTGATGAGGATTATAATGTTGAGGTGGAAGAAGAGAATTATGATCCCCAGCCAAGCAGTAGCGCATCAGTGAATAGTATGCGTCATGGAGGAGGAATTTACTTTTTGTTTAAATAAGTATACATTCATTTTAGTATTAACATTAAAAATAGTATTTATATGAATTATGGTTCCCTGTTAAGCAAATATATTTTTCATTTGTCTGATATTTACGTTGACATAGAAATTGATTGTTTAGGATGAATTATTTATAATGGTAAAACATAATTTCTGCATGCCTTTGAAATGGAATTAATGTTTTATTGATGTGTTACTTTGGTAAATATGAAAGTTTAGGAAATATTTGGTTCAACAAGTTTATCTTTGAATTGATAAGTCTATAAGTAAGTTGTGATATAAGTTGTGAAGCATATGTATTAAATTGAAATGCTAATGTTGAGTTGGTGATATTGTATATGATATCGTGTGTATGAGGGCTGCTTTCATGAAGAACTATCAACAAGTGCATGGGCCAATGAAGGGCGGTGATAAAAAAATATTGGAATTGAAATGCAAGGATGCATGGAATGGTATAAGCATGGTGGAGAAGGGTCCATATTATGAAGATAAAAGATTGCGCGATTTGGAGTTCAAAAGCCGTGGAGGCTTAGCAGTGAACAAAAAAAAGAAGGAGAAGGTAAGTTGGGTAGTTTGATTAAATTATTAATTTAATTTGTTATTGTTTTGATAACATAATATGAAATAAAAAAGAATGCAATTGATGCTTCCTTACTGGTAGTTAAATGAAATTGTGAATGTGACATTAAATTTATTGGGATGTTATAGGTTGAATACAAGGTTAAAAGTGGGTGGAACAAATGCTCAATCGCCAAATTCATTAACATAGTAGTTAAACTTAGAGACGAAAAGAGAAAAGATGTGGCAGATATAGGTTTTGGCAATTTGTTGAACCTACAGTGTGAGCATTAGTCTACCTCACTCTTTGATTACATAATTGGGCATTTGGACATAAAGAAACGGCACATTAAACTTGAAGATAATCAATATCTGCCAATTAATGCAATCGATGTCCACAAAATCTTTGGCTCACCTGTTGGAATCACGGACGTGCCTACATGTCAGCTTTTTAAAACTGATTGGGTAACTGAAGGTGGATATCGAAGTGGGTTGCATGTAAATGATCTGATGGAAAGGGTAGAACAATGTGAGCCCGGTAATGATTTCAAAAGAGCCTTTGTTCTTTTTGCATGTGCCGTTTTTCTAACGCCTAATAGACGTTATAGTGCGCATGTAAAATAATTAAAGGCTGTGCATAATGTGAATGAAATCAAGTCGTACAACTGGTGT